TATAAAACTGTAAATACATATTATACTTAGTGTGATCAAAATATGTGGTGAATGTTTAAATTTCTCAAAATTGTATTACAAAATACATTGGGATTAATCCCCTTCAAACTACTCCCTTTCACTATGAGCAGACTTAGTCCACCATTCTTGCCACTTTCTGAAGCAATTCTGAAAGTCCTATTTGTGAGTGACTTTATAAGATGTGAACAAAACTACATTAAATGCTGCTGACAAGTGCCATCCAATGGAAAGCTTTGAAGGAAGCAGGCTGGTTAAAACATTACTGTGTCTTCATTTATCTTATTCACTGAATCTGGCACCATGCAACTTCTGGCTCTTTCCCAAAGTCAAAATGACCATGAAAGGCAAATATTTTGAATCCATCAGGACATCAAGGGAGCCATGACAGCACAACTTAAAGTTACTAATGAAAAGACCTGGAAAACTGCTTCAGACTGCATGGAGGTACACACCTGTAATCTTAGTACTCGGCAGACTGAGGTAGGAGGATTGCCACGAGTTTGAAACCAGCCGGCATTACATAGTGAGTTCAAGGCCAGCCTAAACTGCATAGCAAAACCCTTTCTCAAAATTTTTTTTAAAAAAAAAAAAAAAAAAAAACAAAAATGTAGCAAGAACAATGGGATTAGTGTGTTCAAAGTGAGTGGGAGTATTTTGAGGACGATTAATAATGTGTCTTTAAAATGAAAAACTTCACTATTTTTCAACCACATCTTATATTATAAATATCTGATATATTCAGTTTATTTCTTTTGGATTGCATATTGATTGTTAGAACCTCTAAAATTTCTATAATGAATACAATGAATTTAAAAATTTTTTGAAGTTGTTTAGATTTCCAGTTTCTTTGTAGAACATCACATCACTGCAGGGTAAATTATTATAAAATGGAAAAGAAAACTGAGTCTAAAGAAATTTTAATTTGGTGTTATTGTGGTAGAATTTTGACAAGAGTTTCAAAGTGTATAATGAAATATATGTTTGGTGAAAAGTATTTGTTACCTTCAGTGTTTGTATTTCAATAAATAATTTAAATTTTTTACTTAACAATCTTCTTTCTCTTCTTTACTGTGCTCTGTTTTCTTATATTTCTTCTTATTTTTCTTTCCTCCTGAATATATCAGTTTGGGAATTCTTTCTTTGGACATGACTGTGGGTGGTCCTCAGAGCTAATTCCTAACTCCCTGATCACTAATTCTGTTTAAAGTTTTATTTTATATAATGAGCTAAAAGGTGTATATGCTCCCATCTGAGGTCTTCAGTAGTAAAATTACAAATTTAGTCTGACTGCCAACACATTACTAGAGACTGTTGAAAAAAGAAAACACAGCCTCTTGGGACCTCCCAACAATTGTGGCCACTGTATGCCCTACCCCATTGCTTAGTTTCAGCTGTCATTCAAAAATTCCAACAAGAGTAGATCCTTTTGACTACCCTTAACATGGGAAATACTAGACACTAGCTAAGTAGGCCAAAAGAATTAAAGGCCTGGATGAAAGGAAAGGTAGAGAAAGTGATCATTAAGAGGAACTCTTAAAAGAGGCAAAGGAAGTTTCCAGGTTGATAAGAAAACCTAGAAATTCCTTGACTCCACATAAAAGTTATGGATAAACCAGTTGCTTTCCCCTGCCCCACAGTGCTTCTCATCCTGTGAAGTTTTTCTGCCTTCATAGGCCATTTTTACTGTTCCATCAACACATTGCTCACTATGCCAGAGGCTTCAAAGACTACCCACTAATTCCCAAATAGAGCACAGCTTCCTCAACTTCATAAATCAGAGCTGGCCACCAGCTAAATCTGCCTGTCTGAACTTATCCCCCACTTTTTTTTTTTCTTGTTTTCTTTCTTCCAACCAGGTGACGTACCTTTGCCTTATTAAGCATGAATTCTGCTTTTCATATCTCATATTGGTACTGGGAAACTTGTCCTTGTGAGACAGGCAGCAGAATCACTGAGCTAAATCCACGGCCCTGTTCATGGATCTTTCTTAATCACAGTAGCCCAAAAAGCAGGCCTACCCTCACCTGAAGGACTGTAGCGCTTTGCACCTATTCTCCTGTCTCATGTTGGCTGTTTATTCTTGCCTTATTTTCATTACAGAATAATATAAGCTCCCTGTAGCACAAAGAACCCAACTTTATTTCTCCCATAGTTCCTAGCATGTCACCTTCCTTGCAGTACCTAAGTGATGAAAATGTGTTAGATGAATGGTAGAAAGAAATCTCATTAAAATTAAATACTGTAACACAAATTTCACATTCTTCTGCCTGATTTTATATTTCTTCTGTATAGAAATAAAACATATATATGAGTATTTCTTATTAGATGCTTTCAGTACCTATCTCAATGAAATTCAGTCAGTGAAACGGGTGTAACAGGAATAATACCTCCCATCCGGGATTGGTGTCTGGGTGTCTGAGCACTGCTACAGGTACCCAGGTCCTGGCTCTCACACCATGGGAAGGAAAACCAAAGTATGCTGTGCCTCCTAAGCTCCTTTCTGTAGAGTTCTCTCTTAAGAATGTAATTTCTTTCCTAATAAATTATGTGCATCACATTGCTTGTGATATTCAATGTTTTTAACTGAAGACGCCATGTTACAAATATTCAATTGATGATGTGTATGGGGAGAAGTGTTACAAATATTTTTCTCACACTTAACTTTTATGTTTGAACTAAATCCAATTGTATGTGAGCTTTCAAAATTCAAATAAAATATCCCTAACAACGTTTTGAGAATAAATAGCTGCCAAGCAAAACCTGACAGCATATTCCTTGGTGGCAGACAGTTCTAAAAAGCTGTGTACACAAAGTGAACAGCTATCAGCTATCTTGAACTGAGCTCATATGCAAATGTGAACACACCTCAATTAAAATTACATCCTGTATATTAAAACTTTCTCTAGAGCCTATAGAATTTTCAGGAAAAATACAGTGAGCTTGACCTTAAGTACCTTGCCTCATTATTTTTTTGTCATTTTCCAGCTACCAGGCTGTCCAAAGAAAACAACTTTTTATTTCTTTTAGATTTTTGTGTGCCTTGAGCTTTATTCCCAATTGCTGCTGTTAAAAAAAAAAAAAAAAAAAAAAACTGAAATGGTTCCAAACACTGCTGTTGTTTTTCTCCCCCCGCCCCGTAACTCATATTTAAACATCAAAAATACTCTGGTACTCTTAGCTATAGAGTGTGTATAAGATCATATTTTCCCTAAAAGTATTTGCTGTACAGAATTTTTTTTTCCTTAACTGTTAGCCTTCTTTTTCAGAGGTCATCTCACTGGTAGCCTTTTGGTTTCATAGTCTCTCTGTATGGAAAAATAACTACAGTGATATCCTACTAGAAGCAAGGGAATTAATTAAGCAATTTTTAAAAAGTTTTATTCTGATATTTAAAAACAAAAAAAAATCTACTTTTGTTGTGATGATCAGTAACCTCGGGAAATTTTAAAACGGAGCCATGTTGTCAGTGCTTCTCTTAAGACTGAAACATAATATGCTCCTCAATGAAGTAAATAAGTCACACATGTAAATACCGAATAGTTTCTCTGGTGTGAATAAACTATAATTGTACATAAGGTCCTAATGAGATAATTGACAATGTGAAATAGGAAGAAAAGGGCTAAAGGCATACGGAAAATGGGAAGGGTAGGGGAAAGGGAATAAGGAAAAAAATTTGAGAAAATGGAAATGAAATGTTTGTAAATGGGGAAGGGAGGAGAGGGTAAAGGGAGGGCAGGGACAAGGGAAAAAATGAGAACCAAGACCTGTCGTGTAAAGGTAAAGATCCCAATAATGAATGTAACTACTGTATATGTAGGGAAAAAATGAGAACCAAGACCTGTCGTGTAAAGGTAAAGATCCCAATAATGAATGTAACTGTACTGTATGCCTAAAATGTACCAATAAACTCAATGAGGAAAAAAAAAAGACTGAAAGATAAAAATCTGCTTCCATCAAGACTTTTATTATTGTGGCAATTCTCATGTAAATGCTTACTGTGTCTATTATGATAGCTCTTGTAGGATGTTTTCAAAGTTTTATTCAGTCTGTTACTTGGGAGTGTTTCATAAGATTCACCTTTGATCAACTCTGTTAAAATGAGATGTAAAAATTATGTGTGTGTCATATACAAATATCTCTTCACATGACAGTTTTTCCTTATATTTAGTAAGCATATACAGAATTGTTAATTTTCCAGTTAAATGTATGTCCTAAAGAAGCAATAATTATTACATGTTTTGAAGGAATACCAATGTAGTTAAACTGATTTTCCTAGCAGAGGTAATGGCTTAGTAGTCAAAATAAAAAACACTGAATAATCGCAAAAGAAATCCAGATATTACCAAAAATGGCAATGCTAATGAATAAATAAAAATATAAATTGAGAGATTCAGTTAGTAAAAGTTATAGTAAATATATAGTGCAAAAAAGAAAGAACAAAGACATTTTAAATATGTTTAAAAATGTTGAAGGCATTTCTAATTTGATATGATCTCATAAAGTGTATATTAAGTGAATTTCTTCAAATTGCTATTTTGTTCTTTATTTTAAAAAAAAAACTGGCAATTTAGGCTCAAAAATAATGCTGCACACCAAACTCAGCTTTAACTACTGTCTAGCCATAACAAGGAATACATTATTAGCCAAAATTAAGGTTCTTTGATCTTACATTTAAACCTTCTTGTCCTCCCAATGAATGAAATGGTCTTTTCTCAAATAGACCTTTTACTACTTGATAGAACCATTATTCTTAAGAAGCTTTAAAATGTGATCTGGAAAACTACATTGACTCTATGGGGCATATTTGCTATTCTTAGCCTGATGAAATAAGCTGGAAGCAGATGAAGAATGCAGGTTAGAAAGAAAACAGATGCTAGATATTAGAAATAGAAAGGTTTTCCAGTAATGAAACTTTCATTTCAGGACTAGACATTTGTTGGCACGTGTGTCATTATGATGATGATTGTTTTTCTCTCCAGCTGTTACACATCTGTATTGAAGGTTGGGGCAATTGGCGTTGGTCAGAGCCCTTCAGTGTGGACCATGCTGGGACATTTATTAGAACAATTCAGTACAAGGGTCGCACTGCTTCCCTTATCATCAAGGTTCAGCGACTTAGTGGAGTGCAAAAACAGGTAAGTTTCTTTGTGTTCATGATCTAGACAACTCTTAATTATTTGTGGTCATGGAGACTAAAATTTAAGAGAAATGTAAATAATTGATAACAAAAATATCACAATGGTTACACCTACCAGGTACCATGCACATGAGTACTTAATAAGTACTTGTTGATGATCCTGATGATGATGATGGTTCAGACCTCTTATCCCACATCTTTTACAAGAGCTGCTAACGAGCAGTAAAATTTACTGATTTGGGTTTCACTTCTTCTCCCTGTCAGCACCTACCTTCTGGTGGAGGTGCTAATGAGCTGTGAAATAGCCAAAAGACCTTTATTGAGAAGGAAAAGAAGCAAAGGATTGTGGGGATTCTGGATAATCCACCAGTGGATAACCAGGAGTTGGTTCTCATGTGTGTGAGGAAAATCTACGTGCAAGTGTCATGATACTCTCCCGTGACTAACGGGGCCTGGGTCTCCAGCAAACTTTTCTTTGTCTAGGAGTTATTATTAACTGCAGTAAAAACTGCAGTCCAACTCTTGGCATATAAAACCTCAGCTCTCAGCACATATTTTTTACGTATTTTATAAAACTTCCTTTTGGCTGTTTTTGAAGTTCTAAGACTGCAAAAGGGGAAAAGTATCTGACACTTTTTTGTGTTCTTAAGATGTGAAAATGTGGTTTCTAAAAGATGGTTTTCAAGCACGGAGCATATGACAAGAGTAGAAGGAAGAAAAGGAAGTATTAAAATTGGAAAACTGACTTCACTGCACACATAATAACTGCATTTGTCATAAGAGTTTTAACATATACATGTGCATCTGGATTGTAGAAGTCAAACTAAAGCTTATGTGAACTGAGGACATGATAGAAACAACATTCAGTCTGTGGAAAAGGAGAGCTCTTCCTATGGAACAATAAGAAGGGTTTTTCTGTTGCCCTATGCCAAGAACAAGCAGGAAGCAACTGGCAAGAGGAACAGTAAGCCCCATACCATATGCATTCTTGGTCTGCACCTAATCAGAGAGCTGGATTTGATGTTCTCATTACTGTGTGTGACAGAAATGAGAAGTGAACCATAGCAGAAGAGTCCAGAAAAAGAAGCATAAAGAGCTTTCTTAATTAACTGGTCACTTCTCAGAATATGTGTGATTGCATACAGTGGAACCAAATAAAATGGAAGATACCAAATATGTGACATAATCTTTGCTCTTAAATTTCAAATTTATGTAAACCCATCCATGTATACAACTGATAGCAAGTGTGAAGAGAATTTAGAAGACGCAGCTTGAGTTGGGTTTTGGAAAATATGTAGAATTTGGATTAAGAAGAGCATTCCAAGCAGACAGGATAGCATAAATAAAGATACAAAGACAGGATTAATGCATCTTACTGAAGGACTCATGAGAAGACAGTCTACTAGTGTGACCTCTGAGCTAGAGTCTTAAGAACTGAAGTATCTCTGAGTTCCTCAGAGCTCTCTTACAGAGGTGGGCTCAGGAAGGTCATACTGATGTTCTGATTCCATCACTCAGACTCTTGGTGAAATGTCTCATCCACCTTTCAATCTACTAGCAAGTCTGTTCTCTCACACTACCAGCTTTGAGGAAATTCTCTTAAATTTGAACCAAAATCTTTCACCATTCCACCAACTTCTACCATTCTTCAAAATGGTGAGGCATACAGAGCTGGCACACAAAGCTTGTTATGAGGACTCCACACGTCTCCTCTCCTCTGTAGGCTTTCAAAAATGTTTCCTCTTAATTTTCTTCTCTAGCTTAAGCCAGTGATTCTGAAACTCTAGTATGCATTAGAATCTCTAGAGGACTCACCAAGATAGATTGCTGGGTCTCACCCCCAGGGTTTCAGATCCAGGAGGTCTCGGGTATGGCCTGATAATCCCTTTTCTAACATGTTTCCCGGGATGTTGATACAACTGGTCCAGGGCACATAATTTTGACAACCATAGATCTGATCTAAACTTTCCCAGTTTCTTCAACTCTTTTGCATATAGTTGCTAAAACTTTCACCAATGAATAAAGTTGGAGAAATAGTTTTAATTGTATGCCCTGGTGGTTAAGATTATACATAGGCAACTGTCTGTGTTTCCTTGTTAACTATGTGATCTTGAGCAAGTTATTTGAACTTTTTATAAATCAGTATTGTAATCAATAAAATGAGGATAGTAACAGTGCCTTCCCCAGGAAATTAGCATAAGGGTTAAATGAGTTTCTATATACAGAGTATTTACAGTATGCCTCGCCAGCCCATTGTCATAACCCAATAAAGTTCACTTATAACTATTGTACTGAAATATTCTTAGGAATGAGTAATGAGAGTTGGACTTTTCTGTATTACTATAATAATGGCTCATTCTTGCATACGTATTATTTTTAAGGAATGATGTTAAATTTCAGGGATAAATTGATATATACAACTTTCCTACGTAGATATTACCAAATGTCAAAAAAATGCGGTAATTTGAAAAATACATTTTTTGGACAAATACATTTCTAAAAACTTACAAAGTTCACTTATGTCCTTCACCCCAACCCCCCCCACACACACACAAACATACACAATCAAATTTTTAAATGTCTTTTTCAGTTGGATTTATTTTTACTGTCGGGGTAGTTTAGCATTCAGATTAAAGTTAAAGTACATCAGAGACAAAGGATTTTCTCAGTTGGTTAAGTTAGGAAGAAAGAAAGGAACCAAGCTTCAGAAGACCTTTGTGAATTCCTGCCTCCCTCACATCTTGGCTTCTTTCCTACTTCTCCACCTGGTCGTGGAAATTTGCAGTAAATTGCAGCTGCCTAATTACTAAAGCTCATTTGGGGAGGTGAGTGTGTACAGATCCCTGAGGTACGTTAACCACATTAATATGTCCCTAAATAATGGAGAATTGGCTGAAGCTCTTTTTAACATTGATGCTTGGTTATCTGTACTCTGCCTTTCCTATACTCCTCTTGTTTCCCCCAGTCAAATGTAAACTGACCACATATAAAGTTTCCCAGGGACTTTGTACATTATACAACTACTTGTGTACACATACTTGCTTCTGTGTTTCTCATCCCTTCACTGATGAAACCTTTACCACTCTAAAATCTCACATGTACATATGTATGTGTGTATGTTTGTATCTTTATACATACACTTTTAATCATGGCTAAGATATCATTTTCCAGTGCATCTGGTGTTCTGGACTTATTTTTTAATATCACTATTCTTCTTGGCACTGTTCTAATAAGAGTTCTGAAACCTGCTAAGTAAAATCATATGTGGAAATCTTCAATACACATCTTTGTGGCTTTGAGAAAGGAGGGAAATTAGTGTGAAACCTGGAAATGTGTATTAAAAAGAAACCCTACATTAAAAAAAAATGTAGCTGTCTTCAACTGATAAATTTATCTTGAAATTCTAACCATAATTTTCAAAATAAAGGTACTCTAAGTTGGCCACTTTGAAGAAAAGCAGACTGAGCTCTCCTGAACCCTGTGGCCATGAAGGAGACCCACTCCCATGAGGAGCCATTTTGGATTTCCTTTCATCCAAGTAGTCCTTTGCCACTTTTATGGATTTTCTTTTTATCAAATTTGAAAGCCATTTAACAGCCTTTTTAGTTGAAAATGAAACTATAAAAAAAAACCACCAAGAGTATCTTTGTCTTTAAACAAAGTGAACCCCAGATGGTTGCAGAGAATCCAAGATTTCTGTGAAAGACAGTGAAATTCTCTTCCAAATTTCCTAGGGTCCAAAGGTTGCAAAGCAAGAGCCACGCACATATGTTGCCAGGCCTGGTTATATCAAGAATAAAAACAAAGTTAAACACTTCCTCCAAGTTTTCACATGTTTATTTAAAGTTAAGTCCTGCTATGGCATCACAAGTCTTATCATGAGTGCCTAGTAATCCGTAGCATATACTAAAGAAAAGTTTGCTTGCTAATTTAGAACTCAGTTCAGTTGGCTTTTATGGTTTGTTATTGTGGAAGCGTGGTTTTAAAAGACTATAGTGGCTGGTGTGTCTAGGGGAAGTATAACTGAAGGGTGGCTTCGTTTTACAAATGTGCTCCTTTTAAAGAAGAAGTCGAACAAATAGTTGGAAAATAAATGTGTAAGAAAGTATTAAATTATTTCACATTGTCAGTTATATCACTAGGATCTTATGTACCATTATAGTTTTTCACACCAGAGAAATTATTCGATATTTATACATATGTGACTTATTTGTTTCACTTAGGAGTGTATCCTCAATATGTATCCAATTTCCTATGAGTGACTTTAATTTCTCATTCTTTATGGAAGAGTCAAGGAAAGGTAATAAGGGAAAAGAAAAAAAACATGAAAAAATAGAAATAAAGTGTTTATAAATAAGGAAGGGAAAAGGGGGTGAAAGGAGGACAGGGATAAGGTGAAAAAAATGAGAACCAAGACCTGTCATGTAGAGGTACAAGATCCCAATGATGAATGTAACTGTACTGTATACCTGAAATGTACCAGTAAACTCAAGGAGAAAAAAATGTGATATACATGAAATGGAATATTATTCAGCCATAGCAATAGTAAAATTATGTTATTGGCAGGAAAACAGATCATGAAACAGTAATACTAAGTAAAATAAATGAGATGCCAAAAGTTAAATATTATAAACCTTCTCTTAGAAGAGAAACCCAAAATATAAACAAATAAAATAGTACAATAAAGGAAAAATGTTAAAAATTTTAAAAGCAGACTTTTTAAGTTAGAGAAGATGATCAGAAAAAAAGGAGAGGATGGAGGTGGGTAAAAGGACCAAAATGCTCAAGACATGTTATTATGTACATGTATCAGTTCCCCAAAATTAAATGAAACAATCTATGCTATTAAAAATAAATAAAGGCTGAACATGGTGGCTCACACCTGTAATCCCAGCACTTGGGAGGCTGAGGCAGGAGGATCACTGTGAGTTCAAGACCAGCCTGGGCTACATAGTGAATTCCAGGTCAGTCTCAACTACATAGTGAGACCCTGTCTCAAAAAAATAAATAAATAAATAAATAAATAACCAAATTAGAGTTTACAAAAAAAAGAAAATATTAAACCCCACTGTTCAAATAGCATAACGTAGAACCATCATGTCAATCTAGTGGACTTGTTTTGGATAAATAATAATTCATTCCTAAATAGTTATTCATCTGGGCATGATGTACACAGGTAGCCTCAGATAACTTGAGAGGCAGAGGCAGAAGATTTGTGCATATTATATGGCCAGCCTGGGCAGTTTAGCGAGACTCTGTCTCAAAAAGAAACATCACCCAGGTGTGGTGGTGCACGCCTGTAATCCCAGCACTCGGGAGGCTAAGGCAGGAGGATCGCTGTGAATTCGAGACCAGCATGGGCTACATAGTGAGTTCCAGGTCAGTCTCAACTACATAGTGAGACCCTGTCTCAAAAAACAAACAAACAAAAAATCACTTACCCATATTTATTTGTGGAAATAATAGTTGATTTTAAACATTGGTTATAGATTTCTTTTCGTGATATAGTTAATGAATCATCTAGTATGTTGCCACTTGAAGTTATAAAATGCTTTTTAATTTTCATAGCAGATCCTATTATCCCCATCTTGCATTTATTTTTCACATTATACAGAGGACGAACACAGGTCTGATGTTGGTTAACTCGGCACTACAGTGCTGCCTGTACTTTGCTTCCCTGCCATCCTCCTATATTTGCCCTTCTTTGACAGAAAAAGAGGGCTTCTCTTCTTAAACTGTCTCCCTTATTACTAAGGAATAAAATCTTCTCTAGAGCCTTTTGGCCACTTCCCTTTTCATGTTATTAACTGATTGGCAAAGAAAATGGAGTTAGTTACCATGATTAGCTTGTAATAATTGTATCACAGTTCGGAGGACTAAAGGAGGCATCCCTCTCCCCTAAGGGCTTGGCTGTCTTTTGATAGCTAAGTTAAATCAGAGTTTTAATAGCAAGGAGAAAGGGGAACACACTGTTAGGAAGGGAACCAATGGGGCCTGTCACAAATGTGGTATGATGAGCAGCCTTTACTCTGTGTCTTATGGAATCTAAGTATTCTTAATAAGTAGGTATTTATTTTATGAGAGATAGACAGCGTGACTGGCTCTGAACACACACATTAGGCCAGACTATCTGTGTACCATAACTATACAAAGTCTCTGTGCCCACTTTTCTTCTTGTTAAGATAGTCATAATAACACCTCCTTTGTAAGGTTGCTCTGTGATAAAGAGGATCATAGAACAAATAGAGGATACGTGGGAGTGGTTCACTGAATAGTCGATTGCAAACTGGCTCCTGCTTTCATAGAGACAGAGGCTCCACAGTCAGGCTCCACAGTCGGCAGGTTGAAGAGCCACTGTGTTGTTCCTGTCCAAGACTAAAAACCTGAGATCCGGTAGAGCCAGTGGTATAAATTTCAGCCCAAAACCCACAACTTGAAGACCTAGAAGAACCATTGATTCAGTTCAAGTTTGAAGGCCAGAAAAGACCAACATCCCAGCTCAAGTACTAAGGCAGAACAAGTCCCTGTTAGTCTGCATTTTTGTTCTAGTTGTGTCTTCAATTGATTGGATAATGTTCATTCACCCTGTGGCGTGAGGGCATCTGTTTCTCACAGTCTACTAATCCACATTGTCATTGAGAAACACCCTCTCAGATCTATTCAGAATAATGTTTGACTGAATGTCTTGACAGTCCATGGCCCACTGGAGTTGACACATTAAATTTAACTTTCACATCCTTAGGCCTATAAGTATATTTGGTATTGTTAATATTTGTGATCTGAAAAAAATGTTAAAAAGAAATCTAGTTTGTGAAAGTTCTGTTTTCATCACTCATAGTGAGTACTCATACTTTAAAAGAATTTGCTTTCTAAAAGTATTTATTGCATAGAAATAAATTTTTTCAGGCCAAGAATGTAGCTCAGCAGCACAGTGTCTGGTAAGTATGAATCCCTGAGTTCAATTCCCAGTTCCAAAAAATTTTTTTCATTATCTCCTCATTTTCAACCAACTTAAACATTTGTTGATGCCATGAACTATATTCCTAGCTGGCAGCAAAACTGGATAATCTATGAGTTAGTGGATAACTCTGTGTTTTATAGGGATACATACTCCTACAATGTAGAAGAAACTGAGTAAAATGAAAATTAGGTATCTCACCAAATGTAATTTGTTTAGGGTTATACAGAGATCTCTTACTGGATTAGAGTACAACAGACCTTTAGAAATCATCTGCAAGGAATAGACTGATCATAATTGCCCTTTCCGTTACCAGAACTAAATGCTTGCATTCAATTCCTATCCTTTTCAACTTCATAATTTAACTAAATTAACTACTACTAGTCACGTTTTGTGGCTTTAGCAACACTTTCTTCTAATTGACTTCAACATTTCTTCAACTCTTTTTCTCCAGCCCCTTTGCCTCTTCTCTTTTCATTCTGGGTCTGCCTGTATAGTACTGGTCAGTTTCTGGGTTTGTGTTTCCACCACCCCTCCATAACTATCCTCTGTCAACACACTTTGCTGGGCTTTTACTTCACAAGTCTTTAACTCCAGCTCTCTTCTTTCTCAAGCATCTGACCGGTATTTCCAGGAGGCCACTGGACCCTGCCTGTTGTCTTTCCTTTAAATTCTGCAAACTCAAACACAACAAAATCCATTCTTTCTTCAAATTTCTTTTCCTTGTTATTAATGAAGTCTGAATTGATGAAGCCTTATATACTTATATATTATCTTTTAGATTATCATCTCTGGAAGACAGATCATCTGCAGTTACTTGTCTGAAAGCATAGAACTAAAAGTTGTTCAGCATTACATTAGCCAAGATGGACAAGCTGTGGTTCGAGAACATTTTGACTGCCTTGCACCCAAAAAGAAATTGCCTTCATACATACTGGAAAACAGTGAACTGACAGAGTTATGTGTGAAGGCCAAAGGAGATGAAGACTGGTCAAGAGATGTGTGCCTGGAATCCAGAGCCATGGAGGATAGCACTGTCATCCAGGTATGAGAAGCAATCCGGTCTAGAGTAGAGCAGCTTTAAAAGTGAAATTTCTCAGTATGCTCTTTGCTTAACACAGCATTTCGTTTATTGAAGAGTAATACATAAAAAGGGGGAGGAGCTGAAAAAACAGAAAGCCTATGAAGAGTGCTTCTCAGACCGTTCCCAGCTCTGTCTTTCCCAGACGCAGGAAAGTTACACCTTGGAAGAGACTCATGAACCAGGGCTTTATGTTATAATGAAGTCTGTTTTTAATTAGCTGTTTCTTACTTTTCTTCTATAACTTTAAACTTTTTTTATCCTCCAAACTGAGGATAAAGTGTCTTATGTCAGTACTTTATTTTGATTAATTAGTAAGCTGTTTAGTATTTAAAAGGACCCTTTCCTATCTCGTGTGCAGGTGCCATCTTCAAACAGCTCCATTATTTATGTCTGGTGCACAGTTTTGACTTTAGAACCCAACTCTCAAGTACAACAACGAATGGTGAGTACTTTCCCAACCGTAAAATACAGTATATGACTCTGACCTTTCCTGTTCTGAAATAAATTAAGGTTAGAGTGACCTAGGGAAGAGATTTATTACAAGTTTGTTTCAGCATCAAACAGCTGGAATACTGCAACAAAGCAAATATGAAAGTTGTTCTGTCCTTTTATTTTTATAGATTGTGTTCAGCCCTCTTTTTATCATAAGGAGTCATCTTCCAGACCCCATTATCATACATTTGGAGAAAAGGAGTCTAGGACTGAGTGAAACACAGATTATTCCAGGAAAAGGGCAGGAAAAGCCACTGCAAAACATAGAACCTGACCTTATACATCACCTCACATTTCAAGCAAGGTATTATCAAAATACATGTATTTTCCTAAAACAAATTCAGCAGAAAAGTATTTGGTATTTTTGAGGGAGAAGGGAACATGGATGGAATTTTTATTGTATGTTTTCTTATCTTAGGAGAATATTATTTGTTTGTACAGCCTAATGTTTTCTTAATTCTACCTTATAGTTTTAGATAAAAGTTATCCTTTCTCATTAAGCTGAGGAAAAACTCAAATCATCAGAAAACGTAATTTAATTGAGGTGATGGGTGGTGTGTGTGTGTGTGTGTGTGTGTGTGTGTGTGTGTGTGTTTGAGACAGGATCTCACTATGTAATCCAGGCCAGCCTTCAACCTAAACTATGTAGCATAGGCTACCTTGAACTCAGGATCCTTCTGTTTTAGCCTCCCAAGTGCTCAGATGGGGAGTATACTACCATTCCCAGCCTTAGATTTAATTTCATATGATTTCTATAGTGGAAGAAGATAAGACTAGAAATGTCACCCAGGTGTCGGTTAGTGGGGAGGAAAATTGAGGGCACAGACAATCCAAAGACTGTTATAAATTCCTAAATCACTAAAAATTCACTCAATCTCACAAAAACCCATTGGTCTACAGTATATTTTATAGTTTGATTTTTTTAAAAATAAATTGTAGACCACTCTAAAAATATGGTATTTATTCTTGCTTTATTTAGTTTATTTGTTTTTTTTTGTTTCCTCCATTTCCTAGAGAAGAATATGATCCTTCAGATTGTGCTGTTCCCATCTCAACAGCCCTCATTAGGCAGATAGCCACTAAGATACACCCTGAAGGCACAGTCAATCAGATCCTTGATGATTTCTATGGGCCAAAAAAGACACTTGAGCCCACATGGCCCTATAATAAGAAGGATTCTGACAGGTAACGTTCTTTGGAAATCTTTTTCTATGCACACTTCTACATGTTAATAAGTGACCATTCACAAAAATATTCATACTATAAAATGGTACAGAAATGGTATTTACACATTTGTCAGATTCTGACCTTTTTGTCATTGAGTAAATACAATTTATAGATTTTTAAAAGTCATAATCTAGAACACAATTGCATGAAAAATTGGTTTTTCCTGCTTGCAAATTCAGCGTTGAATGTGTCTGGTGTGAAGAAGTATCATACAGGAGCATTTTGTATCTGGAATGCTTAAGCATATTTCATAAATACTGAAGTCATCATGTTTCATTGAGTCTCTTGGATGTGGTATTTGGAACAGGAACGAACAGCTGAGTCAGTGGGATAGCCCAATGAGAGTGAAGCTGTCAGTCTGGAAGCCATATGTTAGAACTTTGTTGATAGAACTTCTACCCTGGGCCCTGCTTATCAATCAGTCCAAGTGGGACCTCTGGCTGTTTGAAGGAGAGAAGATTGTTTTACAAGTTCCTGCTGGCAAAATCATTATTCCTCCTAATTTTCAGGTACTATAACATTTAAAACTAACACTAATTCTTTTCTCTCAACAGCTAGATTTTATTCTGAGGTTATATTTATGATCTTAACAGAATGAATCAGTTATGGAAAACTGTCTTAATGATACATACATAAGAGTATGGAAGCTTTCTGATACTCAGAAGCTTCTCAGATGTCTTTCCCCATTAGCAGCATCCCTGGTTAAGGTATCATTAAATTTGTTACATAACTTGTACTAGCTCATTCCACTGCATGCAGGGTATTTGACAAGTATCAGGGTTGATCTATTCCATTCATCGAGAATACGTATGGTAATCCACCCCTAAGTACACTTTGCAGTTCTCCTGGAAATTCTCTGAAATCTATAAGGTGTTGAGGATTTCTAAACATCATTTCGAAAGAGCTTTTCCTTATAAATGGACTAGTATGTCCATAATTATGAATGTTTACCTGATTGTTGATGATAACACGGAATCATTAGAGAAAAACCTAATTTACAAGATAAAATTTCACGGAAGATTTTATATGAAGTAACAAGAAAATTAAATTTATAAAGCTAGCTCATTTCAAGAAGACATGTAAGTCTACAAGAAAACAGAATAAACAGAACTCCTATTTGTCTCAAAGAGGACAATTTAGAGTCCTGTATTTTTAGCTCCAACCCATAAACATCTTTATTCAATTCATTTTTCCTTTTTGTTCAAATAATCAGATGCTGTTACCTTATGAAATTGGAATGTTGACCTGTGTTAGACCTAGTGTTGCATATTATTCTCTTGTCAAATGAGATGAAACCTTCAGTTTTTAAGCCTTAGGTATTCAGTTTTTCCCTCTTCCAAAAAAATTAATTTCAATGTGAGTCAAAAAGACATTGGGAACTAAGATAAAATGCATGTTGCCATTATAGCCCCCCAAAAAAAGAAAGCAGGGATGAGGAGGCTATTTGTTTGCCTTGGTAGCCCCACTATATCGTATTTTTTAAATCCTGGAATTCAGGTCAAAATGTCATAATTAAGAAAAACATTCTAAATGGAGATATTATTTTTCTAGGAAGCTTTTCAAATTGGGATATACTGGGCAAATACAAATACTGTGCACAAGTCAGTAGCAGTTAAACTGGTTCATAACCTGACATCTCCAAAATGGAAAGATGGAGGCAATGGTGAGGTTGTGACATTGGATGAAGAAGCATTTGTTGATGTTGAAATAAGACTCGGTGCTTTCCCAGGACACCAGAAGGTAAAATCAAAGTTGATATGGCTCAGTGGAAATTGCATACCCACCCTTTAAACTGTTTCAAATGAATTCATCTTTTCTATTTTAATCCTTTTTGGGTTTTACTTATTCTCAATAATGTACAACAGTGAAACATTATTTCTTCCTAGTCCTCTGTTTTATAGTATTTTTTCCTTTACTAGTGATAAAAGCTGTGTCACATAATTTATCCAATAACTGTTCTATTTCAAAATACTCAGCAGTCACTTGATTTATAGTACGTTGGGGGAAATAATCTTATTCCAAAATATCCACAAATTATACTTTGCCTCCTTTTTTAGAACAGGAAATGGAGCTGCTAACATTCAGAGCATTAAGCAAAAAGACAAAGTTTCCTCAGCATAGATTATTTCCTGAGCAAAATGGTGTGGACTTATTCTTTTCCCATACAACCAGTGCTACAAAGCCAGGCTTGGTGGTGTGCACGGCTGTCATCCCAGCACTTGGGAGGCTGAGATAAATGTATCACCATGAGTTCGAGGCCAGCCTGGACAACATAGTGACACCATGTCTTAAAAAACAAACAAACAAACAAAAAACAAAGAAAGAACTTGTTTCAAGAGGGAAGTGTTCATGTTCTTAGAGACATGTATACAAAAACATATTGACTCCATTGTTTAATGCAAATAGTGTGCATGTTTCAGTATAAATCTAAAGCTTATGAAAACCAGTTAATTGAATAACATAATAATGTGTACATGAAAGTACAATATCAACGTGCCATATGGAAGCCTCATTCTTTTCTTAAAATATCTTCATTATTTTAGCTGTCCCAAATGAGAAAAAGAAGGGATACTTTAGCAGAGTAGTATAATTCAAATGACCTTTCCCTAGGGAAAAGTTAGATTTTTTTGTTTTTTTTTTTTTGATGAGCATCTTTGAAGAACCTTTTGAGAAAGTGTCATTTGTTCACTTTTTTAAAAAATAAGTTTCTCTTCTTAAGAAAGAAGTTGGCCTTTTTTCAGTGTTCAGACTGGTATCCATTTCCTCAGAGTTGTCTGGGCAACACATGTTGATGCTCTGCTGGCCAGAGCACTGTAACACGGGTGTAAAGGGTGAAGAGCTGTAAGCATGAATCACCCAGAGTCAAATAGTTATGAATTGAGAACTACCATCAAAATCTGGGAAAAAATGCTGCAGTATACAGTTAGGCACTCATTACCTCTAGCTTCTCACAAAGTAGCCACAGTGAGTGCTGAATGAATGTTTGTGGATGAATGAATGCGCTATTGGAGGTCCATTTATTGATGTCCAGTTATTCTGTATTAGTAACTCATATTTTTATTCACATTTATACTCTTAAATTATTGAGAAACCCAGAGACCCTTTACTTCTGTGGGTTATATCAGTTTTATCAGATTAAAAATTAAGAGAAAAAAAATTTTTTTCAGCTTTGAATTTATTGGTACATTTTAGGGATACAGTACAGTTACATTCATTGTTGGGATCTTGTACCTCTACATGACAAGTCTTGATTCTCATTTTTTCCCCCTACCCCTGCCCTCCCTTCACCCCCCCCCCCCCCCCCACAAAAACCTTATTTCCATCTTTTCTTTATCTCACATTTTTTTCTTTTCCCTTATTACCCTTCCCCTACACATCCCACCTTCTCTACACCTGTAGCTCCTTTCTTCCCATTTAAGAGAAAAATTTTTAAAACATACTCCATTACCTATAGAGTGATCACATCATATGTCATAGCTTCTGAATAAAAGCTGTACACTTATGAGGAAATTAGACTGAAAAGATAAACAGTATCTTAGTACTTTTATAAAAATAGTTTTCACCTTGGGTCCCCTTGCTCAGACGTTCCCCCATGAATCTTCCAGATACCTTTTGAGAACTACTGCGCTAAGATTACCACATATTACGTGGGTACATTTTTAGTGAAGTCATGTCTTCTGTGAGCATTGGTTGTTCTTGTGGTATTGATAAGCAGTGAGACCATGCATATAGTGGTAAAGAACAGCACCCCAGAGTCACAGCATGGGATTCCACCTCCAACCAGACCTTGGGCAAGTTGCTTAACCTCTTTGTGCCTCATTTTCCTCTACTGTACAATGAGGTAATAGTAACTACCGTAACTACCCTACCCTATGTAAATATTATGAGGAATTTGTAAGTTAATATGCACAAAGTACTTAAAGCTGATAGGAGAAGCGTAACATAATAATAGGTAAGGATCAATAATTACTCTTTTCATTATCGTCATCACCATCATCATCATCATCATTACCAGTTTCCAGAACTCTCCCTAGCTCATAACAGGCATTCTGTGAGATCACTGCTGTGATGAGCAGCATGAGGAGGGATGTTGGGTTGAATGTTGTTGAGTAAGATGAGTGGTGTTAGATTACATATAAGTGCTCTATAAATAAACACTCAGTGAGGTAATTTAGGAAGTAATCCAAAAACAAGTCTCTTTTTGCTCACTATGCAGTAATAGCAAGAGTAACTGGCTGATGAAAGTACCCTATTAGAGAGTAAATACTGTCCTCTGACATTGGCCAGGACATTTTTGAAACTGCAAGGGAATGCTATTAAATACTCTGGAGAAATGTAAAATTAGTGCTGTCTTGGACAACCAATAGATAAAATAGCATTTTAAGAATAGTCATGTGATCAGTATATGCTTATGGTAAAAATTGCTCTTTCCTCAATTACAGCTCTGTCAGTTCTGCATTTCTTCCATGGTACAGCAAGGCATACAAATTATTCAGATTGAAGATAAGACTACAATAATCAATAATACACCCTATCACATATTTTATAAACCACAGTTATCTGTCTCCAGTCCACATTCGGGAAAGGAGGTAAGCAGTTTGTAACATGATTGCTTTGTCTACATTATGATAAGTTAGCAACAAATAGGATAAACTATTTTTAGCCTAGAGCAAGAAAATGTTAACACTGACTATATGTAAAGAGAAATCCACTTATTTTTGCTGTAACTAAAACCATGGATGCCATGGTCAGTGCTTCCACAATAATCAATGAGCAGTAATCGTACAAACCAGCAGATCCCCAGCTGCTCAGAGGCTCCAACGCAGGCCTCTAGCAACCTCACTAAACCCCTGCTAGCCGAGTACTATTCCTGAGCACTGGCTCCCTACTTGCATGAGAAAGAACGTTTGCCTCACAGGCTGCAGTGCCAAAGGTAGAGCCCTGTGGGCCAAGGATGAGGCCCTGAGCTCAGCCCCAGGTCTGGGAACAGTGAGCTTGTGTCGGTGAAGGAGGTGAATCTGAAGACATACCACCTCATTTACATTAACATAATGGTAGAATAAGCAGAAGATAAATCCAGGATTGATAAGAGGAATTTTTAATTCAGCTTTTTGTGTAATTAAAATGAACAATTATGTTTTAAGAAAGCAAGGAAATTTTTCAAAATTTTATAATTTGCTAAGTGGTATGTTAACTATTTTATGCTTTTGAAACTACTGTATAGCATTATCTTTCTTTACTTTTGTCTGCACTTATTTTAATACTTTCAGCTCCTAAAATTACATTAGCATAATTAAATAGGATAAAAGCTTTATATTTTTTAGCTTACAATATGTTGTAATATTTACAAAAGTATCAGAATTTCATCCTAGTTCACCAAAAGAGTGATAAAAATAAATAGGTGGCCAGCAGTACCCAGATGATTTCCCACATGGAAAATAGAACTCAACAGTATTCACGTTGTAAGTGAGAATTTGACCTGGTCGTTTTCTTGCTTCTCCTCATCCTAGGGCAAGACACTGGATTAGGGCTTTCCACACTGACAAATTTTCTCATCTGTAAGATGAATAATCTTTCATTCCATGTAGATTTTGTGAGGGTTGAATAAGATAAGTAAATGACAGTTGCTGCCAGAAGCTGCGAAAGTGTCACCTAAAACCCCTGATTCACCTCAGCTTCCCAGAAAGTGGAGAAAGTAGGGAAGTCTGGCTCTTTCCTGCTAGAGGAATGTTCCTTTTTGTTGTTATTATTTGTTTTTTGTTGTTTTGTTTTGTTTTAAATACTG